GCTACCAGTAAAACCTGCAGTGTGTCTGCCCTCTCACCCAACAGAAGGTGATAGCAGATATTTAATCTGGTAAGATATTTAATAGGATTGGGATCAGAGAAGAGGGTTTTTATACTGAATTAAAATTTAATGAAATGCTGTCCAACCACAACTCGAACAGTTAGTCGATAAAATGTTTAGTTCAATGAACATAAAATTAAGTAGAAACATTATTGATAGTTTTACCTAATTTCTCAAGAGGAGACATAGACTTTATGAGCTGGTGGAGACTTTTATTGACATTTTACAGATGAATGCTGTCATTAGATTAATTTAAAAATAATGATCTGATTAACTGACCACAAACCAATTGATACTAAGGACAGATTCTCCATCAAAGCCAGCTTTTTACCAGAAATGAAAGCGGAAGTGTACAGCCTTTGTTAGCAAAACTCTGTGGAAATACATCAAGGGTCAGGTGTGAAGTTGCCAGTTAGGATTAGAGTTTTTAAATTCAGCCGCTGTCCTTCTTTATTTGACAAACCTCCACTGTTGACAGGGGTGGAAGTTTGTTTGAGGCTTTTAAGATCTAATGTGTCTGCCTGCTATCTAAGATTGTTTCTTTGTCTCGCTCTCAACCCTCCCTGCCTCTCTGTCTGCCCACCCTCTCCTTCTATATGTTATCCAGTGTTGAGTGGAGGTAAGGAGAGATAGTAATCTGCTGTAGCCTTGGCACTCTCTCGCACTCTGGTATCACTGAAGAAGATTGATGGCCCTCTTTCTGAAATGGCTGTTGTTTTGGATGGAGAGAGAAAAAGACGGAGGCAGAGAAGTGGATTTAGAATGAAAAACTGAGCGAGGGAGGGCAGGCTATATTGGGGAGGGGAGAAGAGAAATGGAGGTAGGGAGAATGTTAGTTGTAAAAGATGGAGAAATGAAAGAGGAAATGTCACAGTGGAGGAGCTTGAGAGCTCATTAAATTTGGTTTGTATTTTATTGAGCGAGTGTGCATTCACCTGTGATTGGTTTCAGACTCACACATCATTCTGTTTTCTGATGGACATGCGGGTTATGGAATTGGCTGCACATAGTTTGCATGTCAGCAGGATTATATTTAAATGTCATGCTTTCCTCTCAGGATGTAAATGAGGCAGGGACGTGATGGAACGATTTTGTACATGTGTCTCTTGTCTCTGCTGCATTAAAATGCTCTAGCCTTTAGGCCGTTAAGGTATCAGGTATTCACCATAAGCAGTCAGTGCAGTATTGCTAGGGGGAATCAGCAGCTCTTCATGCCTCTTCATGATAGGTCTATTGCTCAGTGCCTGCGCGTGGGCAGCACTGGGTTGATTGGCTGTGATGACAATTATTCTCTTAATTGTGTCAGTTATTCTTCCTCTGTGACTCTTTTTGAATTTGTGTAACCTCCTGGCGTTGTACTCCTTTATACATATTGGACTTTTCAAGTCTGTGCAGGTTTTCGGACCGGTGAGACTGAGAGGAACAAGCCTTTCTTCGTCCTCCTTAATTCTCCCCTCTGTTGAGAGAAGAATTGGTTCTGGCATTCTTTTTTTTTATCTTCAGGGCTACCCCCATCTCATTGTGTCCCTCTCTGCCCTTTACTTAATTTGCCTTACATCCCTTTAGAGTGCCTCCTTCTCCGACTCTGTTTCTTGAATATTGTTTGAGTTGCCGTTCCACTCCTTTTTCCCTTTGTCTTTCTTGCTCTATTTCATCCGCCTATTGTACAGCCACCTATCCTCTCTCCTGTCTTTATCTAGTCGGCTCTTCAGTTTTCTGCTTTCAATTTACCCTGCTCTTATATTGTTGGTTCCTACCTCCCTGTCTGGCAGCCCCATCCTCCTTTTCTATTCTTTTTTTCCCAGACAGACCACACCATTGTGATGTTCAGACAGGGCTGGGGTCACCCAGTCAGGTTTTGGTGGCATGACTTGTTGGATTGTCTATTGTCATCCGTCTCTGTCGTTAGTGACCACTTGAGACTACCTGAGTCAAAGGGGGATAAGACAGCGCAGCACGTAGAAGACAGGAAGGGCATGAAGGCCATGTCCTGTCCTGCTTATCCAAACTCTTGATGGGCTCATTACAAGCTCCAGGTCATACCTCATTTCCTGTGGTCACAGTATCACACCTCTGACCAGCTTGGACAGAGAAAGTGCTAATCTGTAGTCTCTTGTTCGGCTGGTCTGTTGGTCGATAAACTCTTGTCTGACCAAATTCATACTAGTCTGAGTTGGTCTGGTTTGGAACTATTTCCTCTTGGTGGTTGTAATCATAAGTTCTTTGAGCCCTGGTTTTGTCCCCACCATCCTCTGAGGGATGAAATCTTTCTCTTAAGGTGCTAAATGCTCCACTAAATTCACTTGCTCTGTCCATCTGCCATTTGGCACTGAGCATGTTGTTGACAATGGATTATTAGAATAAAAACATCTTAAAAACAGCTGGCCCAATGTAATAATTGTAAGTAATAATTATTTTCATTATTCTTCATATTTTCATTTAATTATAAAAAATAATGAAAATAAAGTTATTTTATATTTTTTTATTATACATTTTATTTTATCAATTTTATTTTCCAATAAAAAGATACAATAAATAAGAAGAGGGTGAGCTTTTGTTATTTTAGGAAGTCTGTCTCTGCATATGCACCTTCAAAAAGTATTTTTAGAATAACTGCCCGAAACCTGTCCATTCAGTTGATAATATTATTAAAGAAAAAATACTCAGCTGGAAAAATCTGGACCCAGTTTGATCTCTCGCTTCATTAATATATTAAACAATTAATTGATCATTGAATCAGTTGGCAATTTTTTCTCACTAATTTCACAACCAATAGAGCTGTCTCATCACTAGCATCACCACTTCTCTTCTATCATTTCAACTAGTGGTAAAAAGCTGAAGCTTGCTTGACAGTTTTTAATGAACAGTGATGATGTAAAGCTGTGAAGTTTTTTGAAAATAACCAGTTTTCTCTGTAATCCTGGTATAATAAGCTTCATTATTAATTCTGTAGAAGTGAAAAATTAAATAGATCTTAAAACAGAGAGAAAGGGGGTATTACTGAAGTACTGTAGTCTAAACTTTTGCTGCTAAATTAGAAAAATGGTTGTAAAGTAGGATGGCTAGTACTTGGTCTGCCTGCTGAAAATGTTTCCTCAAACTAGGTCGGTATTAAATAGATTTTCAAATGAGGCCTATTGATCTTGTTTGTGTCTATTTAGTCTATTAAGTTTGGAGTGCATGTCTGGATCGAATCAAAGAGAATGATTACATATTCATTTCAGGTTAGCTATTGATGGGCCTGTACACACATCACAGAGTCAGACTAGCTTTTTGACATTTCTTTCCGGGCTCAACCTCTGCATTTTGCATGCGATTGACATTTCCGTGGTATGTATGTGTAAACATACGGATCTTAAGGTATGTCATTCATTCATGTTGCTCATCACATTCTCTCTGAGGTAAGAGCCCACAGGCAGGTTCAGTACTGGTCATGAATACAAAGAACCTCAGTGTGTAAGAGTGTTCTAATCTTTGCATCTGGGCTAGAGGTAGGTCAGCATTAAGGGTTTTAGTTGGAGTTGAAATGTATTTCACATTGAGGCAATTTGCGACTCACATTTTTGTATCACCATAGTTTAAAGTCATTCATGCCTGTTTAAAAACTCATAAATCTTTGTAATTTATAAGCTGGTATAAAGTGAAACTCAAATCAGACAGCCTCTTCTAGTTTCAAGGTTTATATATAGAATTTAGTGACCTCTAGTGGTGAAGTTGCATGTTGCAGCTGAATACCCCTCACCTCACCTCCCCTTCCAAATGCAGGAGAACCAGTGGTAGCCTTCAGTTGTCATAAAAACTAAAAAGGTGTTTAGTTTGTCCAGTTTGGGCTACTGTAAAAAAGATGGCAGCCTCTTTAGAAAGGCCACGCTCCAGATTTAAATATAAAGCATTAAAACATAAAGGGCCCATTCTAGGGTAAAGAAAACAACAATTCGTACAATTTAGATGATTGCAAACTAGTGAAAACATCACTAGGATTATTTTATATACAATTTCTGCCAATAGATCCCTTTCACCTAAATCTAAAACTTTAAATGTCTTAAATGTCAGGCATCTTTATGAATTGTCTTTATTATGAGACCAATTAGCATCAGTGTGGCTGTTAGGCTTCAGACGTGTTTTTAACAATCCACAACCCTTTTTTTAGAATAATGGTTGACCAGACACAACCAGCTGCCCCTGTGATGTCCTGCTCATCTGTGGTTGGCCGGCATGTGGAGTATGAGTAAGCATCTATTCGGTTATGTTTATTTCGATAGAGGTGGTATTTGAAAGAGAATTAGACTTGGACGATTTTAATGAGAATATCAGAGCTGACTTCTTCTCTGGAGTTGACTGCCACTGTGGGTCTGCTCTGTCAGATGGTTGAACTATTATTGGGTTCTCTGTAGGCTGTTTACATGTCACATTAACATGCAATGCAGAATTATATCCTCAACATTTCTTTTTCATTATTTTAAGAGTCAGAGTATATACCCCAAGAAGTATCGAGGAAGCTTAAAACCTGCTTTGAATCTGCTATAAGCACCAGCATTTGATTTGTGGGAAGGAGATTGCTTTCCTTCATGGCTCTGTTTACACCTGTGACTTGGTTTTCTGTTTGGATACAGCCCAGATACTGTTTGTGTTTGGATTAGTATTTTAATGGCGGTTGTAATTACATTGGGAGGGCCCCTCTTCCACTTTGTTCCGCCTCACAGTGTAAACCCCCCTACAGTCTTCGTAAAGCATGTGTCTTTGTAATATCTTGTCACACAGATACATACGAACACACAAATGCACTCTATCTCAAAAATATTCTGTATTCAAGTCCTACGTAACAGATGTGCGCCCAAACAGTCAACTTGACAAGGAGTCTCTTGCAAGAATATGATAAGGCAATGGCTCACACCCACGCTCGAAGTCTTGTTGATTCTTTCGGCTGTTTGCGTTTGCAGCTTGCCAAGAAGCTCCTGCTTTGGACAGACATGCAGTACTGACACACCTACAGACGGAGAGACCTGACAGACACAGTCCAGCTGGCTAGTCATGGCAGTGGCAAGCAGAACAGATGTGCTAGGGACTTTGATCTAGGTGAGTACCAAATAGGGTGAGGATGTTGGGGGAGGGAAGTGGGGGCATTGGTCTGTTCCAATATTGGGAAATGCCAAGTGTGTGTACGTCTTGGAAAAGTCTTTTTTTTAAAACCATGCTATTTAAACTCAAGGCCACACAGGCCAGTTAAATTAACTGTTTTATTCATTAATCTAACTTGGACCTACTTTATCTTATAAATATTGGTTGGTGCCATGTGTTCTGCACTGATTTGTCAGCCCACGTACAGTATACAGATCAGTATTGTTATAAGTCTACAGTTAATCAGATTAACTTGTTTACTTAGGTTGGAGATATTGTGTTCCTTTGAATCCTGTAGTCCCTAATTTGTCTTTGATAGTCTTCCAGGCAGTTTTAAATTATAGTATTATTGTGCTTTTAGACATGCTCTGAACTCTGCACATTCCACTGAAATTATCTCAGGGATAACAATCAATTCTGACTGTGTTGATGTGCTGTAAACAAAAAAAACATGATTTCTGCAGCTGAATTTGTACATCATGTCCTACCCCCTGCATGTCTGACTCGGACATTAATTTGCTGCGTCCTTCATATGTGAAAGGAAAACTGCGGCACCACTTCAGGTCATGTCTGAAAAAGGATTGAATCATTTATTTTCAAGCAAACTACATTTAGCTTTGCTTTTTAGAAAAAGCAGCAAACACAGAGTTCTCTAGGACTGGACCAAATAGTGGATAAGAAGAACTGGATGGTTTGAATAGAACACACTAGCCTTCAAAAAGAGTGAAGGTGACAGAAGATCTGAAAGCTACCTGTCGAGGAATACCAAGTAGCTAAAAGAACAGAGGATGCAAAAGACAGTTGATCACGTTGGCAGCTGAATATAAAGTTTCAGGAAGTATTCAGCTGTCATTTAAAAGTGGAAATCGCATACACTTATAATAAAAAAGAAAAGAGGAAGGAGATCAAGATTTTTAAAGGGCAAATGAGGGCAGAGGTACCGAGTATGTGTTAACATGAGAGGCCAAAGAAGGAGAAGGATGAAAATAAAGAGAACAAAATAAATCCTTCAGGGGAAATTATGTGGGCCTGTGTGTTTCATGCCTCCCCCCAAAATGTCTATGTTAATTAGGTAATGTGAAACTAGCAAGAACAGCAAGACAGCAAGAAGAAAGCAAGAGCAAAAATTGTGTGGAAATACAGTGTAATACAGCACACTCCATTCAGTTGGAGGCGATAAGACTTTTGCTATTTTGTTGGTGCTGAGACAAGAAAATAGTACATGATAGATGCATTATTGATGTGATATAATAGCCTGCTGATGTGTACAGGTTTGCTGCTGTTCATTTTGGTTTAAGCTCAAAGCACAATGTAGAGACAAGAAATGCCAGGTCACAGTTAAAGTCTTTTCCCACATGTTTGGAGTATGATTTACCTTCATATATATTCAAAGTGAAACTAGCATTTCTCTTTGGCAGTGTCTTCTCAAATCAGTGTTGCTGTATATCCATGAAAATTAAATCTGTGTGTAGGATTTGTTGGGAAATGCCGGCATATATATTTTTTTCACCCTCTCTCCATATTATCACGCACGACAGCGAGTTGCGACATAATTTCAGTTCTCTTGGGAAACAGTTATGGGTTTTCTTTTTGCACAAGACAGGATGTGTTGTGTGTTTCCCTTGTGTAAACGCGTGTGACAGACAGTCCTTACTGACCCTGCAGTTAAATCCAATTTTCTGTGATTACAATGACAAGTGTCTTCGTATGGATACTTAGTAATTAGTCAAGAGAAGATGCAGAAAGGTTGGTGTTAGTGGGGCAATAGAAGACCTGTCAGAGTGCCCAACTCATCTTATCCCCTCCCAAAATCTGCCAGGAGGCTTGTGTGGGGTCCGCCCCCCCCCCGGTCCCCTCTCTCACACTTGGCTGCTCCAGTTAATTGAAGCTACTTCAGATCAGTCAGAGGAGCTGGATCTGCACGCCTGAACAGACCACGCCGCTCACCTAATCTGTCACTCAACACCGCCAGAAGCCCACCACACACACAACCACATCCCCCACACATCGTCCACTTTTACATTTACTATCCCCAAGACTCCGCAGGGGAGACGCACAGTATACGCCCACACCAACCCACATCATCAGATCCTTTCCAGTTGTAGTCTAAGCCAGGGTGCTTCTAGTCCGCCTCGTAGGAGTGTATTTAAACCTGTGCTTTTTTCATTCAGACAGGTGAGTTAGCATCACATAAAACTCTACTGAGACGCCTCAGAAATATGGATTAACATTGAACTGCAAAGCTCTTTATTAGGAGTTAGACCTTCTAAAAGATGTGACCCTGCAATGGAGTTTAATGGCTGTAAGGAGATGGAAATTGTCATCTGATAGCTGATACTTACTCAGGCCAAGCATAACAAAACGAACCAAGGGCAAACTCACACTCAAGATGCAGTGAAATGTCTTTTGAGTACATTGCACATTTATACAACTCTAAAGCTCAGTGCAAACAAAGAGCCAAATCTGTCCACACAATAGCTTAAGTGACATGGACAGCAATTGGATTTGTTTCGTTTGCCTCTCACATGGCTTTTGTCGATAGTTTATGGCTGAATTGAAAATTGTCCACAGTTTTCATAAAAGCAACCACTGCATAAAGCAAAAAAGAAACAACCTGTTCCCTGATTTGGATCAAAACAAACTCAGTAACGTAAGTCCATAAATGTGATACCTTCATCCTCCCTGCAGAGATTTTCTTTTCCTTTGGCCAAAGCACACGTTCAGATGCACAACAAGCACCTCATAGGAAAAAAAATAGGTTGTTAGTTCTTTCCATAGACTGTATGTTAAGATGGAACACATCACTGCTCCCCAAAAGTGAAACCAGAGTGTCTCGATCGCTACCTGGTGGATGGTTGCAGTACAGGTCATAAACCCTTCCACCTCCATGTTAGTAGACAGGACATGGACCAAACAAAAAATTAGTATCGGTTGTCATTTGAGGTCGTTCTTTTTTTTTTGGAGGTTTGTTTTCAGTTACTTATTTGATGAGACTGACTCCTGATTGGCTGAGTGCAAATGTCAAAGGGACCTTGCTACTGTGGCACAATCACCCGATCGATGCTGAAGATGATGGTGATGTTCATATGTGGGATATTTTAGCTTCATCTCTAGATAGTGGGAGGAAGTGGAAAAGCGACCATTTTGTATACAGTCTATTGTATTTTTCAAAGTGTTTGGAACTCTATTAGAGGTAATGTCCTATCACACCATGTTTAAAAAAGTACAAAATTAAAAAGGTTCCTCCCTGCTCCAAAATGAAATTACTACTTGTTTGGTTCATACCCCACACGTCCACAAAATGTATGAGAATCAGTTCAATTGTTTTTGTGTATTCTTGCTAACAAAACATAGAAACAAACGTCCATGTATGCATAACTTCCTGGGGAGGGTAATTATATGAAGGTTTATGGTGTAGGGTTTATATTGTATAGTAAAAGTCTTTTTAAGCTACTAAAACTACCTGGTCAAGAAGATAATGTGGTCATGTTTCAAAGAAACCAAAAAAGACAGGTCCTCCTTGGAACAAATCGTTGCTCTATAGTTAAATAAAGTCTCACAGGACCGTTCTTAGGGCTGCTGCAGGTCAATTTAGCAGAAGGTTGATGGTTCGATCTCTGGCTCCTTGAGTCTGCATTCCGATGTGTGCTTTTGCAATATACTGAACCACACATTGCCCCTTGAGGACGTTTAGCGGTAGCGTGTGATAGTAAAGCACTCCATGTGGCTTCTACTACATAAGCACAGTCCATTCTCTGGGAAAAATGGCTCAATGTCTTGCTCAGTGGCACATTGGCAAGTTAAGGGATCATCACTGCAACTTGTCAATCTGACATCCTGCAGGTATTCTACAGAGTTAAACAGTTTACTCTTAAATATGGTTGTATTCTTTTTTCTTCTCCTTGTTCAGCGGCGCGTCATCCCATAACACTGAGCACTGGGAATGTGTGGAGGAAAGCCACTGGGAATAGATCTTTTTGAAACAACCCACTTGGGAGTGAACGTCTAAAATGAGAAGTGGGGCTTGTGTATTGTTTGAAATGCCAGGCTTCTCCTCATTCTGTGTGCATTCTGGTGCAAGTCTTTGGTTGTAGCTCAGTCAGCTGACATTTAATACTCGGCCATTGCCTACTCTGCCGCTGCTTTAGTATAGGCTCGGTTGTTCATTGGCATGAATATGAACAGACAGATGTGACAGCTGGCCAGCCATATGTGACAAGCCTTTTAGATCTTTACGCCTTAATTATTCCTTCCCTTGGGACCAATATTGACATTTTAGGTCTTAACACTCAGACCTTATAAACTGCCAGCCTCCGGTTGGCATTATCCATCTCTTGGCAACCTCCTAGCAGACGAGAAAGGCACTTGATATCTGCTCACGGCTAAATTTGTGTCTGTCAGCTGCTTTCACACTTATAACAGTGTTGTAAAAATGATTGTCAGTATATCATGTCTGTTGTTTACTGATGAGTAGCTCTTTTTCCTTGATGACGTTTCAATTGAAGCGTTTTCCCCTCTCTGAGGTTGGAAAGCATCGTTTTCATGAATTTTTTGTGAGTGGGTGTTAAAAAAATCCTTAGAGACTCGCTGTGATTAGAGGCTATACACATAAAATTAACTTAATTAATAACTGTAAGTTGTTTTATTCTGAACACCGTATGATTAAATATCAACATTTCCTGCAATGTTCACACAGCTCCAATGATCCTGCTGCAGCAAGCATGTATTATTATTTTCATCTTATTCAGATGAGAACACATTTATTATCTCATGTGTTATGTTGAATTAGCCACAGCCAAACCTTTTTCATATTCTAAGAGAAAACACACTCATGTGTTTTATTTATCAAATTGTTGTATAAATGGTGCTCATAGGGGTGCAGGCAGCTCTATCATTCTTTTTATAGACCTTTTTTCCTTTCAGTCACTTTTTCTATCTCTCTGTTCCTGTCTTTCTGT